GCATAGGTTTGCCGATGTGTCAAGTCCGTGACTTTAAGAGTGTATGAATTTGCGTTGGCTGTTATGTGCCTTTCAACAAGCACGCCCCAGGTTTGTTGTAATTGCGCTCGTTAGCAACCTTCGACGTCACGTCTTCAGGCAACAAAAAGGACTTCTCGTACTTCGCTCTGTGTCGTGGAGTGCAGATTATGGGTGCCACGCTGACTGTGGAGCGGAATGCTGAGCTCGAGCAGAGGCTTGGATGCATAGAAAGATGTCATCAGGAAGGTAGTGGGAAGATGACTGCATGAGTACTCAGGATGTTCAAAGAGCATGCAGTGTCCTCCAGCACTTCTTCGAAGCAGCTGCATCTTCCCTTTCCGAAGTTCCTTGGCGATGTGTAGCGGCCTGTGCGCAATCGATACCTGGCGCGGTGAAGCTCCTTAAGGTTCATCGTCATGATGGGGACACTCTTCAAGTTGGACTTTGCTGGTCTGAGGCCTTCCTTGGACACCGAACACGAGTTTCGAGCAAGCTGTGAATCGTTGAGATGTGCGCTTCTAGCTGTAGTCGACAGCTCTGCATTCTCTGCTTACCGGCACTGGCAGCGGCTGTATGCCTTTCATATCGTTTCATTGCAGCCAATCCAACTCGAGGACGACGGCGGCTCGTGCGCACAGCCACGAGGCTGGTAATGCTATTTGAGCACACATTTGCCCGGTCGCAGACCCTGCATTTTGGTCCTGACAGATCAGTTAATGGCGTTGAACTGTTAAGCCCGTCCACAGCGCGGTTTATGCGCGTGCAGAAAGCCACCGACAAAGCACATTCTGCAGTTGGCAGGTGACTTCTCCCCAGTGCCTTCACACGCTCCGTCCCCATGTGTGGCACGTGATTTTAGAGAGACATCTACAGTAGCGAGATCCAAGCTGTATTGCAGCTTTGAGCCTGGCAGGAGTCCGCCATGATGCGGCGCATGTCAAACTTGAAAGCTGTCCACAAAGGACCCTTGCATCAATGGTAGCGAGGGTGCCGTACGCCCGACATCTGATTAGGGGACATTTGCAATACGTAATTTGCAGCTGTCGGGTCAGCTAGGATTCTCTTGCGTCGCCGCGCTCGCTCTTGACTGCCGGGGCATATCATTAGCGGAGACTTGAGAAGCTGCCATTTTGACTTGGGAGGTACGCTTGGCTTACGAGGGCGGAAGTCGGCGATCCGTTCCTCGCGGGGTGGCTGAGGGCTGACGATACGGACGAGTCTGCAGCTGGCGCAAATTTGATTGAAGCTGAGTCGCCATCAGTATCTTCAGGCAGGCGGGTGAGTCTGAGTGGTGTCAATCTTTACTCGCACCTTGCGCAAAGTAGGTTCTAAGTAGATGCAACTTGGTTGACTAGAGCTGAAGTCTGACCAATGGATAGCGAATGCTGGCTGAGCATGTCTGCAAATCCGAAGGCCCAGCAGCTCAATCAACTAGGCCACCTGCTTTTATGTGTCCTGCGAAGCAGAACATCAGATTCCAGCTGAGCGAAGCTCATGAGCTAAACACGCTGTGCACGACGCAGATGATGCGATGCAAAGTGCCAGAAAAGGGCGTGCTATCATAATCCCTTTAGCACTACCATCACCACCACCACCACCGCCATAAACCCTTGGCAGGCTTGCTTTTGCAAGTATTGGTGAGTGGTAGAGTTGTTAGCTTTGAGGTCTCAGCCTACAAGCTGCCGCTGGCAAGGGGGCGTCCTCCAGGCTCCATTAATCAGCCTTTTGAGGCTAGCTGCAGTCACAGCGAGGATGTGTGGTAGTTGCCAGCCTTGCAATGCTTGACATGCAGCACAGGCAGCAGTCACGGGTCTCGACCGCTAGGCCAGGCTGGAGACCGCGTACGCAACCCGAAGTAAATCGGGGTAGCCACGGCAAGCTATTCATGGACAGAGCCATGCTGGCAATTTAAGAGTCTTTGTGATTCTGTTTTCTGTGCTGCAAGGCTTCAGAGGCCTGGGAAGCTTGAAAACGCTGAAACACAGAACGGGGTAGCCGGGTAGCTGGTTCCCGGAGATGTGCACTAAGTCACTATGCTTGTGCTACGACACCGACTGCCCTTGATTCGAATCTTAGCAAGGTGCATAAACATCTCAGTTCATAGCTGGTAGCCGAGGAGCATCTATTCTTGAAAGGCGTCGAGTGTTTAAGCTCCTGAATCCGTCTATTGTTGGCTTGACGTTGAAGGTCCAGGGCCTGCCGAGCAAGCAAGAACACATTCGCACCTACAGCACAGTATGCAAGGCAAGGAACGGGCCCGAGATAGACGTGGGGGCGGGCACGCGGCAGATCGCAATCTAGCACGGGCGTTGTGCACGGACTTTCAACAGACCGATGTGGATATTTCTATACATGTTCCCAGCCCTGACCTCTCCGCAGGTCTGGCTGGTCATCAAGGTGACATTGTGTCCCTATGCCCGACTCGCAGCTCTGACTGTTCCTGACATCTGCTAACGTCCTACAACGAGAGCAGGGGAAGCACCGCAACACTGAGATGCTGTGCCTTTTTGATGACTGTTGTTTCGACAGCACCCCTCATCTCAGCCAAAAGGTGTAGTTCCAGAAGAGCTTTGCAGCAGCACGACTGACCCATCTTTGTTCTGCCTTCGGTGCAGATATCATATCTGCCATACCTGAGGCCCTTCGTACACAGAGTCGCACTCAACTGGTGGAGGTGGCGGGCCGTTGCTGCTAACCTGTGGTCAGAAGCTCGGTTACAGCACGAAACTTTGGCAGATCATGCTGGGTCCGGTGCCTGCAGGCGATGATCGAACCGCGCGTCTGTGGGCGCTAGCAGGGTGCCGGCCCGAAGAGGGTGTGCGTCATGTGTGTGCTTGTGTCAGTGTAAACGTTGCTTGTCGCTTACTGCTCAGTCCTCATGCCGGGGCAGAGCTCATCCGCTTCGATCGCTTGCGCGGCAGCGGTGGCAGCTGTTCACGCTCTCAGGCACACGGTGCCGTGTCACAGTGTCAGCTATGCGTCTGTCAAGCAGCTTGCCGAGGCATCGTGGGGCTCGGAGGACAATCCCCTGCTCGACCAGGTCCAGGCAAGCCTCCAGCCTGCTCACATCAGGCCCCTGTAGCGGCCACTGGCTCGGAGGATTCTCACTTCCTGTGCTTGGATGGGGCCATTGCACTGGCAACCGGAGCGCGGTTGGCAGTGTATCGCTTCCAGCTACATGTCCAGGCCAGAACAGGGACAAGCATGCTGTTGCACTTTGCAGAGGAGTCGCCTTGGTTTTGAAGCTTGATAAGCTTCCAGGACGTATCTGATGACATCAAGCGGTTGCAAAGGCCTTCAACCCGGGGTGCGGGGGGAGGGGGGGGCAGGGCGGTCCAACAATTGCCGGTCACGTGCTGCAGGCTCGGCTCCTATCGCTGCTGCGGCTTACTGACCTTGCCTCGCGAACCTTCTGCGGGGCAAGGAATAGTTGCCCTTGCAGCAAACAACGTTCCCAACCCAGCCATGCACTTTGTAGCAGAAGAGTTTTGGTTTGTTGTGGCTCCATTGAGGCTGTCCTTTCGGGCACCGTGCTGGCGTCGACCTCGGTGAGCAGCCTTTGGACGATGATCCGCCAGCCGACTGCTAGATTTAGGTGGCATCTTCCAGCAAGCGTGTCTATGTTTGGGACGTTGCTGCTGAGAAGGCTTCTTTGCTGGGATGCAATCAATACAGTTGCTGACGGAACACAAGCAATAAGCAAGTTGCAGAAAGAGAGAACGAGAGTTAGGGTGGTTCAGAGTCGAAACGAACGCAGCAGGTTTTGGCGACAGTTCCAGATCCAATACACGCAAAGGCCGTGACGTGTTTGCGCATGGCACAGCCAAGTCCTTGGAAAACCCGTGGTCAAGATGATGGGATGCGCTGGCTCGTGGGTCGCCCTGTTTACATTTTTCGAGGCCTTACGCTGGTCAAAGTGCATCGTCGATGGACATGTTCTACACTGCCGGAATGGACGGCTGCATCAAACTGTGGGATCTTCGTACCATGCAGGACCTGGGGTTCGTATCAGTTCAGTAGATTCGCTGTTGCATTCTGATGACGTAATGCTTGTCATTGGAGGAGTGTCGCTGTTTCCGAAGCGGTGTGCAGCTCAAGACTGGAACGCATGCAGAGTTCGACGCAACTGCACCATGTACTTTAGCCGCACATTTGCAAGGTCATGTCCATTCGGCGCAGCGACTGCGATGCAGGTGCAGCTTTTCTCGCGTCACTTCGCCATGTGTCACACCATGTGACGACCTCCGCGAGCTTGAGGTTAAGCCCCTGCCTGCGATACATGGCCACACCTTCGGAAGAAGGCTCAGTTTGTGTGGCGCCCTCGCTGCCGACATCTGCCAACTGGCCTTGTGACGAGCCTGGCATGGCCGTCAAGAAACATGTACTTCAGCTCAGGTGTACGATGTACGCACGGGCAATGTGCTCGGTTCGAAGCACTGCCACAAGGCTGAGTTTCGGCAAAGCATGCAAGCAGCTTTGTGCGAACGGAAAGCTGTGAGGACGCAGCGGTGGCCGTGGACCTTCATCCACGAACGGGCGCTATGGCCAGTGGCGGCTTCGATGGCCAGGCTGAGCGTGCACGAGATCACGTTTCCGTGCATGCACTATACACTGTACACATGATATACGCGCAACGCATCGCACCGAGAGTTTTGACGGGGCCAGGTACAATTTTTTCGCTCGCCGCAGGGATCAGGCACAAGCCTCGCAATTGCACTGCACCTTTGCTTGCCAGCTTGTGACTGCGCCTGCTTTAGGACTCTAGCTTCGTTGGCCCTACAATTCTGTTTGTCAACCATGGCCCTGGCATGCATTCTGCGTTTCTGCCCAAGCTTTCACAATCGGGCTTGCCCACGTCGTCAATCGCAATCGCCATTATGCCGGTGGCGATGCAGGAGTGCTCATTGACCCACTCAGGGGCAAAGTCTATTGTAGCGAGGCCGGCGAGGTAGGAGCTAGAGGAGCCCCATGCCCAAAGCATGTGTCGTCACAAGGAAACCAGGAAAGTATGCTCAGGCGATCCTAGGAGGAGTGACCGGCACGAAAGCCACGACACCTGCACATGGTATTGCCAGGAGGATGCTGTTCCCCTCACGGGCGTCGAAGGCGACTATGTGGCTCCGGCAGCGCGAGACACATACTTCCAGAACGAGCCGAACCTCATCGCCCCCTTTGATTTTGATTACGTGCCTTGGAATCTGATGCATCAGATAGTTCAGGTTCATCAGTTCCACACTTTGTTTTCCGCGAGTGTCACGAGTCCTTCTCCAAGAGGTTTGCTGATTCGTCCGCATATACAAGATGTCCTCACAGGTACAGTTGCAGACGTAGGCTGCGTTGAAAGAGAAAATGCCAGTTCGGGCTCATTAGGAAGCATCAAGACAATGCTTTCAGGACATGATCGTTGACTTCACCACAAAGCTGAAGCTTGGCCTGCTTCGGCTATGACTGTGACTAGGCAGTTTCGTGGTGCATGTATGGTTCGGATTGGCAGAAAGTCAGGAGATGGGCGCAGTTTCTTTTTGTTCCTCCGTGCTGGGCAACATGTTTGTGCTGCTTGCCTTGCTTCCTTCAGCAAAATGTGGAGTGGGAGACCCGCGCCATGGCTGCACAGATTTGGGAGGGGTCAAAGCACTCAGTACAACGCAAGCGAGTGACGGTAACTGTACCACACCGAGGTTCTCAACATGTGGCATTGACCATTGACGGTATCCGGCATCTCGTTTGACATACAGTCCATGGTCTGACCTGCCGCCTGCAGCTGTCGTCGCGCGAGTCAAGCATGGACAACAAGGGGCGAGAACTTTGACTCAAGTGCAACTGAAGCAGGTATGTCAAGGAGAAGAGGAAGACGTTGTGCGGATTGCCTTGTACAGACAAGGGCCGGGAGAGCAAAACTGTCCCGTATGACAAGATCACGGACTGCGATGTCCAGGATGCATGTCCTCTTGTTTGCATGTTGCTACTTCACCGTGTTTGCATCCGTGATCTGTGCTTGCTCGCAGCATTTCTCGACATTGCTTGCAGGAGCCTGCTGGCACAGCTTGCTGTTGCTGCATTGAGCATCTCGCACGAGAATAGCGTGTCACAGACTGCCAAGCCCTGCTTCCGTGTCCGTCAGTGTGGTCATGTGTTTTTGCAGTAGGTTCCGACCTGTCATGAAGGAACGTGCTCTCCAAAGTCCACATTGACACAGCCTCTAGCGGCTCCAAAGGAGACGGAGTTGTGCTGCACTTGGCCGTGCGAGCATTGACGTCAATTGCCCATGGCTGATTTTGCTTGATGATTGAGTCGTTCCCAGGCCACTCACGAACTTGAGCTGCACGGCCTGGTGGACGCGCATGCATTCAAGCACTCTGCCCCAGCCTTACTGCACAGCTGGATACTTCGACTCGCCGATTAGGCACCAGGTTGTGTATGGAGGCACGGTGCATGCTGCAAGCTGCTTGCGAGCTGTTTTCGTGAAGGTGTGGGCCATGAAGAGGCGGGCAGCGCCGCCTGCCGGGTCTAATGTTCCCATGATCCCAGGGAAGCTTGGTTGCAGCCAGGAGTACCCGATCGACCCGCAAGAAGGCTTCAAGTGTGTACATGGGATGTCGCACTTGAAAACTACTCAGGAAGCCTGGTGTGGCGCTTCTCGCTTCCATTTAAGCAACGTTTCATTTTGGTTGAGCTGTTTTGCTACGAGGGTGTGTCTAACTGAGTCTAACTGCTTCGCAGGCCCGGACAGCAGGAAATGCTGGAAGCACTTCATGTGCAGGCCTCAGTAGAAAAGGACGATTGCCGTGCTAGTGTGTGAATTGAGCGACAGCTTCAGGATGCCCCGAACACTTGTTGTTACTAAGGAGATTCGAGACGAGCTGAAGATAATGAATCAGAGACACGCTTGCAGATCTTGCAATAAGGGTCGCTGGTTCCTTTATGCCAAACAGCCCTGCGCACTGTTTTGACAGCTGCCTCAACTGAGGAAGATGGATCTTCAGAAAGCTTGATGCTGAGAGCAGGACCGGTGCAACTCCATCACGAAGCATCGACAGCACGTAGTTTGGTGCTCGACTTGAACAAGCTGAGCCAGGCATTCGTGGCCTTCGTCGGGGCCTCCTGACTGCTTGGGTCAGGCCAATCGCAGTCGCAGACTGAGTTGATGGTGCACTCCGCCCAATATGGTGTATCCCAATTGCACTTGCAGCCATGGCCTACACATGGCCTAGGATTCAGGCCGATGCCATGCTGGCGAAAGGTTTCAGCTGTTTCCATGCTCGTACTCAGGTTGACTGCTCTGAGTGGACCTAATGGACATTTGGATCAGCAGTTGTACACAACGAATTATTTGATGCTGACCCGTCAAGCGTCAAGCCTTTTTTTTGCCCCGGGCACGCTCAAGACAGAACTTAAGACTTAAGCACTTCATAGGGTATCACTGGACTGAGCTCGTAGCTCCATGGCGGCCTGTGAGCTGATGGGAAGGAGACCGCTAAAGCGTGCGACTGTCAAAAACGAAGCCGTGAGCGAGCTGGGGCATGCTGGGTCAGGAAACTGTAACTGGACCTTGATGTACAGTCTCGCCAGTGCCTTTCCACCAGCCAATCGCAGATCTTTCAAGTTCGCGTGGATGCCAAATGAAGAAAGGGACTTGGAAAAAGACTTGTCCATGCCAAAGCTACAGCAAGCACCGCGGGGACGTGGTTTCCAGCAGATATCGCTTACTCCAAGTTTTCCTGTTCGGGTCATGTTCGTTTGAGCAATGTGTGGATGGGATCTTCCTGGTATTACCCGGCTTGTAGGGCCATCAGTCAAAAGGTTTTCCCAAGACAGAGCTTTGGTCGAAAATTGTTTGAGAGAACCCTGTCCTTTGCTGCAGGCCGGCCTCCAGGCAGAGGGCCCCAGGGTTCTGAGTTGCTTCAGCATGATTTGCGCTTCAGCCGAGCATGTTGGATCCCTCAATTCCACCCTGGTAGCTGACAGTGTCTTTGCTTGTGAGGCGGTGGAGGTGGCTTGCGGTCGGATCGGCTTCGCCTGCGCCCTGGGCTCACATCACACAAAGTTTGCAGCATCAGCCAATCCCATATTCCTCGGGGGTCAGTTAGTTGTGTCGCTAGTTGCTGCTGCGTGGCCGCGAAGCTTCAGCCACACATTCCCTATTTCGGAGCATGCTCTTGATCGCACTGTGTCACTATGCAGATTTGACGATCGTAGTCACTTCGTAGTCGTAGATTATTTGGCTCCTTGCGACTAGCAGGGAGTTTTGCTTCGAAGCAGAGTTGATTGGATTGGCCTTCAAGGGTCTCAGGTGCAAGAACAATGTAGCTGGTAGTTGTCCGTCACGTCACGATCTGTCCATTCCAGGAGAGGCTCCTTCCGGTCTTCGAGAAGTTGAGCGGTGAGCTTAGCTGACACATCTCTCTGGCCAGTGCCTCCATGGGCGCGCTCTTGCATCAGCCAACAGCAGAGAGTCCTGTGCCAAAGACATCTCCATGACGCAGGATGGAACTGCCAATCTGATGCCAAAGCCTAGATGGACAGAAGTGTACAAGTGAATGCAAAATCCTGGCAGGGCGGATCATGTTTGGTAATCTTTGAGAAATTCGTCATTGCAGTAAGAGTGTTGCGAATGCCCTAGTAGCACGGATTAAGGGATAAGACACAGCCAGACAGACCCGCGTGACACAGGAAAAGATCGGCACGAAGCGGGATTGAAGAACTGGATAGATAGGGCAGAGAGCTTTTTGTAATGCGTGGGGGTGACTTGGTGAGCGACGCTGCGTTGGTTTCGAGGTGGATAGGCCAGGTGAACTTAAATTCCCTTTCCACTTGTCGTGGAGTTGGTGTGTGTGTGTGTGGGGGGTTCGTAAGCCGAAGACTTCTGCAAAGCTTTGTTTGGAATGTTTGTGACATGGTGTATTTGTCGCTTTCGTTGCCTTGACGGTGGCTGCATTCTGGCGCGGATGCAATGTGACACTCGGCCGTTTGACCTGGCATGCTCAGCTTTCGTATCATGAGTCAAGTGGCATCCTCATGCCCACCCCGTCTACAAGCCACAGTGAACTTTAGATTGCAAAGGTCATCCCCCCACGTGCACTTTCAAGTAGAATGCCATGGCCACTGTGGCCTTGTGTGGGTCCAGTCAACCATGCCTCCCAGTTTGTGCGCAGCTGCCGCTCCCGGCAGCTGGCAGGCGCGCGAAAGCCGTGGAGGCGGGGGCTCCTCCATGAAGGCATTCTGTGATTTGCTGCCCTTTGAGAGGAAGTGCGTCACATCGGTACTTGGGCAGCCATCACCCTGGCGGCGGCAGCGCGACTGTCGGCAGCGCAGCCGCGGCAGCGAGGACGCCCCTCGGATGCAGTCTGATACGAGATCCATTGAAGTAGTCGAAGTACAAGTAGCGGGTGTCAGGTCGAGAGCCGCTCCACTTTGCAGAGGCCTATGGTGCAGTGCACCTGCATGAGCTTCAGGTGACGGGCCTACAAGGTAAAGGATGTTCATCGATGTTCTCGGTTGTTGCAGACATGCTGCTGGCTCGTTTGCTGTGGCAGATTTGACGCATGATGTTGGAGCATCCGAGAAGATGTCAGTCAAAGGGCAAGCTGCATTTAAAAAAAACGTTTGCAGGCTTTGGAGCTGACACGGGACAGGCCGAAGCGATGCCCGGTTTGCTCAATCAAAGTGCTGAAGAGGCAAGCCTGCTCTGCTCATTTGCCGTTGTTTCCTCATGCCTTCATGTCATCACCAAAGTATACCAAACAAACCGTCGCAGTCCGGATGCCCAGAATCGATCATTGCAACTTGCAGACAAGGGCAGCTGGTCCGTATTGTTGCTGTCGTAGATGTGTTGCGCCATGACCGACTCGTCTTCGGCTTCTGTGATGGTCTCGACACTAGCTAGCAGGCTTGCTTTGCAGACAGGCCCAAAATCCTCTCGTTGCCGGACCTCTACAAGCCGTGGTCGGCAGCAACCGGCACAAAGGACATGCACATCCAATTGCAGAAAGTCCAAGAACTTCTCGCGCCTGGGTCCAGCTTTGAGGACCCATCCCGCCAAAGCGACTTCGTCGCCAGGTTTCTTCGGGACAAGCCGCAGCAATGGGCCGCGCTCTTGAGGCAAGACATCAGTCAGAAACCTCTAAGGCTTGTTGTTACCGCACAGCGCACGATCGCGTTCGGGGCAATGCATCCAAATCGAACACAACATGTATAGGCAGCATCTAACTAGTTGAAAAGTTGTCACCTTCTAGCATATCCCCGAAGTCAACGCGGCACAGCCAGTCTGCGTGGTCGGAGACATTTTGAACGACATGTCCCTGCAATAATAGGCCTGACAAATGGAGTCCGTCGTCGCGCTACATCATGTTCTGCATTGTGCATGCACGATGTGAAATCCACTTGTCTATACTGTAGGACCCTTGGAGAGGGCGCCGTGTTGACTTATCCTCATTTTGTAGCTTGACTGCAGTGCCGCTGTATAGGACAGTAGACGCTGTAGCACGTCACAAGCCATACAAGCCTTAGATTCGACTTTGCCTTACGCAGGCCCCTTGGGCTGAAGGTCCAAATAGGCTGCTTTGTGTGAGTTGCTAATCCGTCCATCCCCCATCTTGCTGGCCCTTGGTCGGTGGGGGGGGGTTGGAAGTGCATTCGAGGGCCAGGGCTGGAAGGGGGGGAGGGGGGCTTGTAAATGCAATGCGCTGCTTCCGACGTGTTTGGCTCTGTTTGGAAAAGCTTGCCACGACTGTGCGCCCCATAGTGGGTGAGCTGCTGAACGCGCACAGCTGTGCACAGGTTCCCCGTGAGCGGCACAGCCGTTGGTTTGGTTGTCCTCAAACTTCGGCTGCCGTTCTTGCAGAAGACCACGGCTCCGCGGTACACACACACAACACAAGGCCAAGCTAGATGGCATCTGCACAGGTCGCGCACTCCATTGACATCCCCGCAGTTTGGAAGGGTCTTGAATGGGTGGCTGCTGGCAGTCGACGTATGAGGAGTCTGGAATGGGGGCGGACCCATTTTAGACCTTTCCGGGGTTACCCATTGCAGACCCCCTACAAGAACTATGAAATGCTGAGGGGGGCAAGAAACAACCCAGCGCCGAATCCCGGAAACGGAGAACCCCTATGTGGAGCCTTGCCTGCTGCGTGCGAGAGTGAGCGACGAAACCCCCAAATCCTAAACCAGGCAACCCCAAACCCAGAAACCCTGAAGCCAGAACCCAAGCCCAGAAAACCCCAAACCAGAAACCGTGAAGCCAAGAACCCTCAATCCAGAAATCCTAAACCCAGCAACACCGAACCCGGAAACCCTGAAGCCAGAAACCCCAAACCCAGAATCCCCAAATCCAGAAACCCTGGAGCCAAGAACCCCAAACCCAACAACCCCAAAACCCAGAAACCCCGAACCCAGAAACCCCAAAACCAGAGACCCCAAACCCAGAAACCCTGAATCCAAAAACCCCGAACCCCAAGCCCGACAACCGCAAATCCACAAACCCTGAAGCCAGAACCCAAGCCCAGAAAGCCCAAGACCAGAAACCGTGAAGCCAAGAACCCTAAACCCAGAAGTCCTAAACCCAGCAACACCGAACCCGGAAACCCTGAAGCCAGAATCCCCAAATCCAGAAACCCTGGAGCCAAGAACCCCAAACCCAACAACCCCAACCCAGAAACCCCGAACCCAGAAACCGCAGAACCAGAAACCCCGAACCCACAAGTCCTAAGCCCGGCAGCCGCAAACCCAGAAACCCTGAAGCTCTCCTGTCGAACAGCTCTTCGATGTGCCCAACATCGGGGGATTCACACCGGCGTATGGACGTTCTCTTATAGCAAACCGCAGGCTCCGGACAGGGTCACCACCCGGTTTCAACACCCCAAACCGGGGCCGGTTTGGGGTGCTGAAACCCGGTGGTGCCCTGAACAGGCTCCCGAAACTCGCTGGTAGGTTTTATCCGGCCCCGGTTTGGAGTGCTGAAACCGGTCGGTGGCCTGAAGGGGCTCCCTAAACTCGCTGGTGCCCCGAATCTGAGGTTTTATCCCGCCCCGGTTTGGCGTGCTGAAACCGTGGCGCCTGAATGGGCTCCCTAAGCTCGCTGGTGCCCCGAACCCGAGGCTTTATCCGGCCCCGGTTTGGAGTGCTGAAACGGGTGGTGGCCTGAAGGGGCTCCCTAAACTCGCTGGTGCCCCGAATCTGAGGTTTTATCCCGCCCCGGTTTGAAACCGTGGCCTGAATAGGCTCCCTAAGCTCGCTGGTGCCCCGAACCTGAGGCTTTATCCGGCCCTGGTTTGGAGTGCTGAAACCGGGTGGTGGCCTGAACGGGCTCCCTAAACTCGCTGGTGCCCCGAATCTGAGGTTTTATCCCGCCCCGGTCTGGCGTGCTGAAACCGTGGCGCCTGAATGGGCTCCCTAAGCTCGCCCGAACCTGAGGCTTTATCCGGGGCGGGATAAAACCTCAGGTTCGGGGCACCATCGAGTTTAGGGAGCCCCTTCAGGCCACCACCCCGGTTTCAGCACCCAAACCGGGGCGGGATAAAACTTCAGGTTCGGGGCACCAGCGAGTTTAGGGAGCGGCCACCACCCGAGGTTAGGGAGCCATTCAGGCCACCACCCGGTTTCAGCACCCCGTCTCGGAGATCCGGGGATGAATCATGCGCAGCCTGCGACAGTCAGGAAGACAAGTATCCACTGCATTTTGTGCCGTTGTTGCATTCCTGCACGGAACATGTTGGGGGGACGTCCAGAAATGCGGATTGCTCTTTCGACCCCCCCCCCCCCCGGAGACATGGGGGATAGCCGTCCCCGCTTCTGATTGGGAGCGGAGCAGGTGGATAGTAATCGCCAGGGCCATTTGGGTGGTGTAGAACGACTGGCGCGAGATTAGATCCATGTTTGTTGTTGGCCGGAACTATCAGGCTTCGTGGTGGGGCCAACGGTCGCACGGGACGGGACATGATGGGACCAAGAGCGGGCCTTACATATATCCATGCACCACCCGGTCGTTTCGCCATTTAGGAATTCCGCAGTCGCATGCGAGTGTTGCAGCACAAAGAAAAGCAGAGGCGAGTGGTCCTCAAGCATTTGCGCGCAAATGCTTTCTCCAAATCGCAATCATTTCCGAACGAAAATGGCGGCGGAGGAGGATGAGTCTCCGCGGATCGAGCGAAGCGCATCCGCGGACCACCTCATGGAGGGTGAGGCAAGCGACATTCCCGTGAGCCCGTCCAGAGCACGTCGGCAAGGGCGTTTCCAGCCTGCGGTGCACGGGTCTGAGTAATAATACGACGAGGGGTCAAGCATGGTGAAGCCACCCCAACCAGGCAGAGGTCGACGAGTAGCTTGTGTACCCCGAGACAGAAAGAACGTGCACGCGAGACGTTAAAAGAGGTCGCGGACCCCGACCTGGACATGAGTGAGTGTGTCGAGGTTATGGAGGGCTCACGGAAGACGCACGCAGCATTGCCCGAAGCATATATAGGATTCGTCAAACTGCTCAGGCCAGATGTGGCGACATCCGCCTATTTGAGGCTATGCGTGCCAATCTGCTTGCCAAGAGCAGTTGATGATCAAGGCCGTTGCGCGCTCACACCGTTGATGAGTACGCTCATGTTTTCTTCAACACCACAGCGTAATGCAGGTTAATGAGCGGCTTTTTCTAACTGGCAACAACACGCAGCATGACCTGGGCTATGAGCCTTGGAAGAAATTGCAAGATCAACAGCCCAAAGGCTACGGAGAAGAGCCCGACGTTCCAGACACAGTGTGCTAGCCTACGATGCTTACCAGGCCACCGTGTTTGATGATGATTCGCAGATGGAGGAAGATGGTCATCTTGCCATGCAGCTCAATGCTTACAGGAAGTAGATCAATGACCGATGCGGAGTTCACCTGCATCCTGGAAAACTATTTCCGGATGGGAGCGACATGGATCTTGTGCCGGGCATACTACACCCTGCGTAACTCAGCTGCTTAGGTTCGTTTCGAATTTTGTGAACATTGTGAACTACCTGCAATTAGGCCGTCGTGGGGTGAACAACACCAACTGCCAGTGACACGGTCCATCCGTGAGGGCTTGGGCTCTAACCTGCACCGTACAAGTGTGCGAGAGTCAAGCTCACAGCGCGGCTGCACGGCACAAGTGTGCGACCATCGCCTGTCGACTCCATTTCGTGGCCTCGACTTCGCTTAGTTGGTTTCGAAAACATCTGGAGTGGTGAGGTGCAATTTGTTCCGCCCGCAAGCGGGCTTATCGACGTTACCTGCTTTTGTGCCAAGAAAATTTTTCGGAGGCTGTGAATCTCTACACGTCTAAAATCGCAGCACTGGCTCTAGCACATCAGATTCTCGAAAGGCCAGACTAGGGTAATCCGCAGCCAAGGTAGACTCCCCTCGGCCAAAGCCTTAGCTTGCCGCCGTCATATTGCCCTTGGGCCCCGCCAGAGCATTTAGCCTAGCCGAGTTAGTCACTTTGGTGC